CCCAGCCTGGCTTTGTGGTTTGCCGATGTTGAGGCAGTCAAAGCCACTGCAAGGTGTTGGCGCGCTGCAAAATGCCATCTTGGCATCCCAGAGCAGCCGAGGTTGTCCTTGGCCACAGACACGTAGCACAAGGGACAGAGCCTGGAGGGGACAGGGACACCAGGAGCATCCATCCCTTGTGTGTCCCAACCTCCTGGAAAACCCCTTCAGAGCCTCAGTGTACCCCGGTCCTTGGCTGAATTTACGAGTATCCCAGGCAGGGCCCTGGACCATGGGGGACAGTTGGCTTTGCTGATCCAAATCGGGAATTCCAGGGAGGAAATCTGCCCATGAGACGCCGTTGGGAGTTCACATGCCTGGGGAGGGCCTGGGTGCAGGGGGTTAAGTTTGGATGATACTGGGATGAGCCACAGGAGCTGCCTCCTGCACCCCTCCTGAGCTGCCTCCCGTGTCCCCTTTCCACCCCCTCCTTGTTGTCCCTTTTCCCTTCCTCCGGGAGCCATGACATGGAAGGTGGGATTGCTCTTCGTTAACATCTCTGTGGGTCCAAACTGTTGCGTTTTCAGAAGCCCGGTGTCTTTAAGGCAGAATCTCCTTTACTTTCAGTTTTGCTCCTTCTCCCACGCTGCCTGTTGGGGGGAGGGATTCAGGCAGTTTTCCTGGGATTTTCTGCATCCCTTTTCCCTCCCGGAGCTCGGGATTTCTCTTAATATGTTACAGCATCTCCGTGTTGGTGGCCTTGTGCTGAGAGACTCATGTGTGACTTGTTGCTGGGCTCTAACCTCTGCTCAGGCCCTGCATCCCGAGCCAGCATCCTCCTGCTTCCCACTACCCCAACTCCTCGGCATCCTCCTGCCCACTCAGGGACAGACAACCCCGGGCTAAAGTTCTGGGTCTCTCCCTTTTAGGCTGATCCCACATTCCCAGAGCTCCAGCATGGTTTTTTTATTAGATTATTCCCTGTTTTCCCCCTTAAATTAACCAGGAATTGGGGATTTGTAGTCCCAGATGCCTCTAACCCACTGGACCCTGTGGGTCACGCGCAGCTCGTGGGCTGAAAGCCAAGAAGGGTGACAATATTTGATGGCAGGAGTTAAAAACAGAAGGAAAAGTGACAAGTGGAGGCTCTCTGTGTGATAAATACCCATGGAGAAGCTCTGTGCATGCCCACAGCTGCTGGGATGTGGTTTCTCATTGCCTTGGCCATCCACCAGCGCAGGGATGCAGGCAATGCCCAGTGCAGGACCCAAAGCCCAGGAGCACATGAAGTGGGGCAGGAGCTGCCTTTACACCAAATACCCATTTTTTGAGTGCATAGAAAGCTCCCCACAAAGTCCCTCCTTGTGTTGGTGTAACCAGAGCAGCTGCTTCCAAATGATCTCGGGGCTTTGGGAAAGCTAAAACTGGGTGTTCAGGAAGCTTCCTGCTCATGGCTCCCGCATCCTGTGGTCCTCCTGGCACCCGCATCCTGTGGTCCTTCCCGCATCCTGTGGTCCTCCTGGCACCCGCATCCTGTGGTCCTCCTGGCACCCGCATCCTGTGGTCCTCCTGGCTCCCGCATCCTGTGGTCCTCCTGGCTCCATGCTCCATTCATCCATCCTCAGTTTGAGCCTGCTGAGTGCAAGAAGGTGGAAAAGCAGCTGCTGAGGGGCCTGGTTGGGCTCTTCATCAGTGGAGGACCATGGTCCTAAGGGCATAAGCTTCATCCATGGGATGTCATCATGCCCCCAACCCTTGGAGGGGGCTTGGGTAGGTGCCACCCCAGGATGGAGACGCTCACAGGGGGATAAAGGCACGGAGAAGCACAGAGGACAGGAATAAGGAGCTTGGCAGGGTGGAGGCTGTGGCCACTGGAGAGGCCTGCCTGGCTCGGCTGCAGCCCCGATCCAGTGCGCCAGATACTGTGTTTATTGCTCCCTCCTTCACCTTGAAGTTATGACGAAGCCTTTGAAGAGCAGCCACAGATTTACATGTTGATAACGCTGAGGAGGAAAAGCAACAAATCCCAAAGCACTGGAGGCTTTTGAAGCCGCTCTTAGCACCAAATCGGGGGTGAAAACTCCTTTGCACAGCATCTTTTCCCCTCCCTCAAAGGAAAACTCCTTCTCAGGGCATCTTTTCTCCTCTGAGCACAGGCATCATAGAACCATGGAATGGTTTGAGCTGGAAAGGACCTTAAGATCATCCAGGTCCAACCCCCTGCCATGGGCAGGGACACCTCACACCAGACAC